AAAAAATCAAAATATGACGAAAATGTTCCTTTTGATTTTCCATTTTTCAACGAATGCCAAACGAAAACTACAAAACAGATCAAAAAACTTTTTTTACTGATTAACAGCTGAATAGCCAACTATCAAATAACAAAATGTGTTTTACATTTTTACTACGTCTGCAAACCTAAAAATTCAACTGAAGCCATATATGTGTGAAACCCGCAATTACTTACTTGCCGACCCAATATATCTGTTTGAATGATCAAGAGGTAAAGGGAAGCTTGTGTTCATGTTTTAGTTTCTTATGTTAAAGTTTTCTGCAATACTGAGAAAATACAGTTTGATACTCTTGATGTGCAGCTCTCTTCTCATGTGACCTTGCTGCCTTTGACCAAATTATCTAGTCAGTCTTTTCTATAATCTCAGTGCCTTTTATAGGAAGCATGAAGAAGAAAGAACAAATATGCTGGTATCTGAAAAGCTTGAATACGTATTAAACATATCACACACAGTCATTTAGGTGTAACCCTTTTAATGTCATTTTTCTGTTTTAAAAAAAGAGGCAATAGCAGTCACTTGAGAATGTTACCTTTTTAAAGAACCAGCTTTTTTGTTGATTGTTTTTTGGTTGTTCATTTTATGTTTAATTAATTGCTGATTTTATTTTATTTTTTTTATTTCTGCTAAGTAAAAATAATGGTTTATTAAAGTATGTTTTTATAAAATTAAGTTTAATTTGTGTTTCTGTTTCTAAATTTTTTAAATGGAAGCTTAAATAATTGATTTGAGACATTTCACATATTTTAATATAGCCATTTAAAAATAGTCTTGGGCTGCAACCCAAGAGTCCTTGGTGTGTGTGTGTGTGTGTGTGTGTGTGTGTGTGTGTGACTGAGTTTCTGCCTCTGCTTCTCTCTGTCTTTCCCTCTCATCACTTATGTTGGGGGAAGCAAGATGCTATATTGTAAGAATTCTTACTGAGCAGCCCAAATGATGTGGTTAGAATATGTGACCCTCTATTTAACAACTTGTAAAGAACTGAAGTCCTAATCTCAATAGCTTTTAACAATGAAGCCTGCTAAAAGCCACATGAGTGAACCCTGAAGCAGATCCTTCAACCCCAGTTAAATATTGAGATTTCTGTAGCTCAGGTCACCTGCTTCAGTGCAAGCTCATCAAAAACCTTGAGATAGAAGTAGAAAGCTAAGCTGTTTCTGAAATTCTACCTATATGATTTATGAAATAATAAATGTTTTAATCTGTTACTTACTGGGTTAATTTGTTAAGAAGAAATAGGTAACTAATACAACATTCTGTCTTACAGTCTCTACCTTTAAATGGCCATGTTCATAATATTTAAATTTAATGGAATTATAATGTGGTTGTGTATAAACCTGCCATCTTGGTATTTTCTATTTGTTCTCCCTGCCTTTGTTACCTTTTACTCCCCTTTCTATCTGTCCTTTATGGATACATTTATCTACCCCATTGGCTATATTCCTTACTCTAGAGTTTATAGCACAGGTCTTTAACTTACACATGTAATGTAGAAACCTTATAATCCCATATTTCTATTTCCCCATCCTGTGACCTGGGCAATTGTTCTCATCCATTTTTTTCTGCAGTGCTATAAACTGCATAATATATTGTGACTCTTGTTTAAGGCAGTAAATTATCTTCAAGATTAAAAACTGAGGGAAAAGATATTTACTTTTAGCCACAAATTTACAAATTCCACCTCAATTTATTATTTTGGTAGATCTAATTTTTTTTTTAATTTTTTTTTTTTTTTACCTTTTATATGCTTTCTTCTTTTGGAGAAATTTTGTATATTTCTTCATGAAAGCAGTACTGGAAATGCATTTTTTAAACTTTTTCTTTGCTTGAAAGTGTCTTTATTTCACTTTATTTTTGAGATATGTTTCACTGATTAGAACTGTAGGTTGCCAGAATTTTTTCATTACTTAAACATGTTGATATATTGTACTTTGCTTTACATTATTTCTGACAGGAAGTTTGCCTGCATTCTTTTTAAAATGGCATTTTTGGCATTAATTATATGCTAAAGTGTTAACCTATTTAATGCATACAATTCAATTATGTTTAATACATTTACAGAAGTATGTAATCATACCCCCAATCAATTTTAGATTTCCATGTCTCAAAAGAAACCCTGGAGCTGTCACCTCCCTGAGTCCTAGATAACTATGAATATGCTTTCTGTATTTATAGATTTGCCTAGTCTTGATATTTCACGCACATGGAATAATGTAGTAATTGATATTTGTGACTGGTTACTTAAACCTATTATAATATTTTCAAGATTTATCAATTTGTAGCATGAATCAATGCTTCATTACATTATATTTATGGATGTGCTACAGAATTTATCAATAATTATTTTGTTTTGTTTTGTTTTGACAGTCCTGTTGTTTCCACCTTTTAGAAGTTATGAATAATGTTTCTATAAACATCTGTGTACTCATGTTTGCATTGACATATGTTTTCATTTCTCTTACACATAAGCTAAAGTGTGTGATTGCAGAGTCAAATGAAAAAAAATCTATTCTTAAATTTTTAGAGTTCCTCTCAGACTGCTTTCTGAAGTATTTGCACCAGTTTAAGCAGTGTATGAAAGTTCCAATTTCTTCTTACCCTTACCAACATTTCTTATTAGCTGTTGTTTTCATTATAGCCCACTTAGTGTGTATGAAGTGGTAACTCATTGTGATACTGATTTGCATTTTCCTGATAGCTATTGAGGTTAAACACCTTTCCATGTGCTTGTTCAACATTGCTATATCTTATTTATATATATCCAAATATATATCCAAATCCTTTAACTATTTTATAATTAGGTTCTCTGATTTTTTTATTATGAAGTTGTAAATATTCATTATGTATTTTCAACTACCATGGTTAAGAGGCTGCTGGTTTTCAAGTCTATTGCAGAGTTGAGGTGAGTCAGATGGTAATAGAGTAGTCAAAATATCACAAAGCTAGCTGAAATTAAGTATATGTATTTTTTCTTGAATAAATGCTCAGATTTTTGCAAGTCTGTGGTTAATTTGCAGAGATTTAAAAAAAATACATTTTTGCCAGTTGTTTTGTTGTTGTTGCTTTTATGAAGGGGCAGATTTTTGGAGTTCTTTACTTCATTTCAGAAGTTCTGCCTACAATTCATTATGTATTCTTTCTTTTATTTATTTAACTTTTTGTACTAAAAATTGTTCACACCTCTGGTTAATATTACTGTGCAACAAACTAGCCTGAAACTTGAAGGCTTAAAGCAAAATCCATTTTATTATGCTCCTTGGTTCCGTGGGTCACAAACCAACACAAAGCATATGAGTGAGAATAGGTTAGCTCTTTATCTGTCTGGACCCTCAAATTGAAAGACATGAAAACTGAGAGCTAATTCTGAGGGGCTAACTGCTTCTTCTTGCCCTTCACTGCAGAGTTTAATTTTTCTTAACATCCTTCAAGTGTTATTTCTGAGGATTTTAGACTTTCCCCCCCTCCTCAATCTATAGTCTTCCCTTGGGTGATTTCAACCTATTACTTCAGTTAATGGCTCCTCAAATCTATATTTGAAGCACATTTTTCTTTCATGAGTTTCACTCATTTATACAGCAGATAAGTTAAACTTAACATGTCTAAAATGATTCTTTCAAATCTGCACCTTTTGCGATATTTTCTAATGAATGATTGCATTGTTCAATAATGTTTTTCAAGAAATAAAATTAAATCGGGAATTATCCTTTCTCTTACAACCTCTACCCCAAAGCACTAAACTTTTTTTTTCCATTTTCTAATTTGGACCTTAAGTTTTATAGTTTTATATTATCCAGTGCTATAGTTATAGGTAAAAAAGAAAAAAAGAAAGAAAGAAAGAAAGAAAGAAAGAAAGAAAGAAAGAAAGAAAGAAAAGAAAATACACTCAGTGAAGATTTTAAATTCTGAATATCAAGCACTTACTGAAGGAAAGCTTTATAATTCATAAGAAATTTTATATTAACATTAATTCAATATTATAATAGAATTAATATGAAATGTCGAAAGCTGGAAACACGATGAGTTTGTTGAAGACAGGGCCAGAACAGAAGCATCAAATACTGAATTATAAGATGAAGGAGTTAAGTAAAATTCTTAAGGACCAGAGGAGAAGACCCTTAGATTGGTTGACTGTATTCAGAATTGATTATGATAAAAGTTCTGGATGATAGACTTAGAAATTACTTTACTTTTTCTTATTGGACATTTCTGTGTTATTCTGAATTTTCTTATTTTTTTATCATAAGAAAATAATACCTTTAAAGTGTTTTTAATATTTTTTTTTTTTATTGATTTTTTACAGAGAGGAAGGGAGAGGGATAGAGAGTTAGAAACATCGATGAGAGAGAGTCATCGATCAGCTGCCTCCTGCACACCCCCTACTGGGTTTATGCCCGCAACCACGGTACATGCCCTTGACCGGAATCGAACCCGGGACCCTTCAGTCCCCAAGCCGACGCTCTATCCACTGAGCCACACCGGTTTCGGCCCTTTAAAGTGTTTTTAAACTTCCTTCTATTCTTACCACATTTTACTCCTTGTTCAATTTTTGTTTAATTCTTTCCCCATTATCAATGCTTTCTTATTATTTGTTAGGATGTATATGACTTTGTGTCCAAAACCCATGCACATTTTTACTAAAATCATGGAAAGGAGGCATAAACCATGATTGATGGTTGATAACCCAAATGATCATATGAAAATAATTTGCCTACTGTCAGGGCAAATAAACAGGCCAGAGATAAAGGGACATATTAAGGACAGAGGGTGTTCATAATGTAAGTGGAAGAGAACTGCCAATTTAGTTGCCATGTTATCATTGTATAATCCAAGAGGCCAGAAGACAACTATGGGAAAATAGATTTAAAGAAAGTAGAAAGGTCTTTATTAGCAGTAATTTTGTTACAAAGTAGTGTTGTGCGTTGTAATAGAATCAGAACTTACATGTGAGCTGTAGTAGTGGTTTATTTACTGGTTGGCATTTTATATTCCCGTACAACACAGCAGGGCTCATTGTCGCAGTAATTATATATATATTCCCAGTTGTTGCATGAAGTCTTACAAGCACCACGAACAAGGTAACATTCTGTTTTTCTCACTGTAATTTCTCTTGTTTTGTCTCTTGTTTTCTTCTGTGAAACTAAGAAAAAGTAGCCATGATCACAAATCCAAGTTTAATGTATTTGAATGGATAGATGAACTGACAGATGATAAATAGATAAGTAAATAAAGTTGTTTAAAATATAGAGTTAAACAATTTTGTTTCTGAAATCATGCCCATGTAACTGTATTAAAAATTAACTTTTATCGCCAGGACTGGTTTGGCTCAGTGGATAGAGCGTCGGCCTGTGGACTGACAGGTCCCGGGTTCGATTCCGGTTAAGGGCATGTACCTTGGTTGCGGGCACATCCCCAGTGGGGTGTGTGCAAGAGGCAGCTGGTTGGTGTTTCTCTCTCATTGATGTTTCAAACTCTCTGTCCCTCTCAATTCCTCTCTGTGTAAAATCAATAAAATATATTTTAAAAAAATTAATTTTTATCCCCAGTAAATTGGTATACATTCTTATTATTTAACAATATTTATTTTGCCACAGGCAATTTTTTTGGTTGTTTATTTTATTTTATTTTTTTGTAAATAGAATATCCTTAAATATCTAATCTGTGCATACTTCCTCAAGAGAAAAAAGAATGTGGAAAACATACCCTGCATGTTTTATGCTCTAAAGAGCCATCTATCTCCAATATACAAATTGCAGGGCTAGTTAGTTATAGAAAGCTATAATCAATATCAGTTCATTATATTGTATTTAAAAATAGAAGGCAGTGGGAAAGACATAGGAGTAATAGTCTAATCAAAGAACACAGAAAACAGGTTTAATTATATATCTTAAGAGGACCCCACCCAATATACTATCAACTATCAGTTTCACTAATTTTTTTCTTCCATACAAAATAGAGTGAACTTTATTATAAATTTATATGCAAATCATTTATTTGTTTTATTTTTCCAGAGCAAAGCAATTATAACAAAAATTTTGCCCTTCCCTCTTTTTCTATGTTAATAATCATTACCTGATGGACCACAAGACACAGTGAAGACAAAGGTCAGGAAAATACCAAGTATCTTCATTGCTGATAAAGTTACTACAGTGAAGTTGAGGCAGAGCTCAAAATATCTGAGAGGTGTGCTATTCTTTGGTAAAAGAAAGAAACTCTTGTTTTTATAGCCTTCTCAGGGTAATTACTATTCTGATTAATGTCACTTTTCAAGATTGAGCACAAACTCATGTAACTATTGTGAAATAGCAACAGGCAGGTTTCAGGATTTGCTTCTGTTCTGACCTCTATGAGCCAAATGTGAACTTCTTTTCGATTTACAAGCGAAGAGTGGGGTTAAAGTCTTTCTAAATTCTTTAACTTAAAGCACACAATCAGCATCATTCTTGACCACATGTTTTTTTATTTGTTTGTTTTAATTTCTCTATTGATTAAGATATCATATATTTGTCCTCACCGCCCTATTTCCATCCCAAACCCCTCCCCACGCATTTCCCCACCTCCTCTGTTGTTCATGACCACTGGTTAGGCTCATATGCATGCATACAAGTTCTTTGGTTGATCTTCCCCCTTATCCCTACCCTCCCCTACCTTCCCTCTGAGGTTTGACTGTTTGGTCAATGCTTCCCTGTCTCCGGGTCTGTTTTTGTTCATATGTTTATGTTGCTCATTATTTCCCCTAGATGAGTGAGATCATGTGACACTAGAAATACACTTATAAGAACCGAAAATGAGACAAACAATAATGGTTATGCTGAGAGGCAAATGAATCAGTCTGTAGTGAGTTTCTTTCTAGGTGAACTTCTTGTGAGTCCCAATTTCAATGTCAAACAGTTCCTTATATGTACATATCAGCAATGATATTTCAGTCTGGATGGTGGATAAATGGTGGTAATGCAGGTCAGACCCTCTCTGGTTTTGACCACATGTTTTTTTAAGCATATATTATGGGCCAGGCAGTGTCCTAAACACACACACACACACACACACACACACACACACACACACACACACACACATATATATATATATATATATATATATATATATATATATATATTATAGAGTTTAATCCTTATGACAATTTCTATAGCATAGGATTTTTTTTTTTCAGTTGAGGAATTTGTGACATAAAGGAATTATATAATTGCTTTAAATCCTCTATGTAGTGATTGGTAGAGTTGGGATGGACTCTAATGTAATGAGATTCCAGAGTCCATTATGAGCTTAGCTGGTGTCGCTCATGATTGAGCATCAACCTATGAATCAAGAACTCAAGGTTCGGTTCCCAGTCAGGGCACATGCTAGGGTTGTAGGCTTGATCCCCAGCAAGGAGCATGCAGGAGGCAGCCAATCAATGATTTTCTCTCATTGTTGATGTTTCTCTCTCTCCCTCTCTTAGAAATCAATGAAAATATATTTTAAGAAATTAAAAAACATTTTTTTAAAGAATCCATTTTGAGACCAATTTTACCTACCTGTGACAGATTAATTGGTGCTTTTGGATATTTTGAAATTGATAAGAACCATAGAAATGTTTTAATAAAGAATAAGCTTCTGAGAAAACAAAAATTGCATAGATGTCAATGGCTGAATCTTCTGCAACAACTTTTACATCTTTTAGTTATGAAAAGCTCTCATGCAGACTCCAAGAGTTACTGATGGTTCATATATATATAATTTATGCCTCTCCCTTATGCTTAATCTGCTGCATCTTAACAACACCTATTTAATACTTACTATGTGAAAGGCTCTTATGTAACTTACACATACTATATGCATTTAAACTTCATGAAAGCCCTAGGAAGTAAACATAATTTTGAACCCCATTTAACGTAGAAGGAAACTGACACATAGAGATTGAAGTAACTTTCCTAAAGTCAACTAAATAGCTAGCTGCTCAGTGGTAAAACTGGAATTGAATGTGGTCTATTGTCAGAGCTGGCATTCTTAGCCACTATTATTACTAAACTAGAGGCCCAATGTGCACAAAATCAAGCACAAGTAGCTCGCTTCCACTTGCCTCAGCTGGCCATCCCACCCATTGCTGCTCTTAGCTCACACCCCGCCCTGCCTGCCCCAAGAGCCACTGATCATTTTGTTGTGACATCATTACGGCATCACAACCTCAAGCCTTTTATGATATAGATACCCAAATCACCTGGAATGTCTTTCTTGAACAATAATGTTTGTAAAGAACAAAGACTAGGCCAGTAAGCTGATGCAGTGGTAGAGGGAGGTCAGGATGTGGCAGGGGTTTCTTATGACATGTGAAGTTGTGTATTTTATTATATGTTTGATGGAAGCTATTTAAGAGTTTATGAATTCCCTCTGGCTCCTGGTAGAGCTGTTTGGAAGTGAATAGGAGGATCAGAGTCCTGGAGGGAAGTCATTTAAGAGACTACTACAATGGTCTCTGAAGGAAGAAACAGTGACTTGGCTAAGTGTCTCTCTGAGGTGCCTATCCATTGTTCTCCTTGATGTTTACTCTCCCCATGGTTTTGCTAGTTCTTACATTGAACCAGCCTAAACTCCTACATCTCAGGTCTGACCCCAAATGAGGAGAGCCTGTTCCTGATGTTATCATTCATTGTTATGTATGTGTTCTTTCCTCCCTGTTTCCTGTCAGCCCTGGGTTGGACTCTCTGTGCTTTCTTAAGGAACAATCAGATAATATGCCTACTGCGCCATATGGGAGTTTACAGAAGAGTGTTTCTTTTAACTCATGAAGCATGTGCACTTTAGAAGACATTCACATCTCCCAATAATCTTGCCATCTAATGCCCAAAAATTAAACCAGAAACTCCCACAGAGGAAATTTCAGGTTAGTTGAGAGATGAATATAAATGACTGAGAGAGGAAATGAGGAAAAGAAAAGAGGAAGAGGGTAGGAGGGAAAAGAACCACATTGATTAGTAGATGGATGGAGCTCTGATATGTTGCTAAAAACATTGTTTCTTGAACTCTAATGTGCATGTGAATCACCTTAGGACCCTGTGAGGACCAGGGCCCTGGAGTAGTCACATTTACTGTATCAGTGTTGCCCAATTGGTCCTCTCATCGTGTCATGATATGAAGATGGGTATCGCCAACAATGTAGTGCTAACAATAGATTATAGGTGCAGTGTTGCAATGACAGTTATTCCTTCACTGATTACCAATGCATGCTTTTGATGTGGTGAAAGTTGGGATAAAGGACCAGAATTTAACATGGATTTTGGTTACACAATTGTGAGGAAAATGAAATTCTTCAGTTATTCTCTCTCTTCTAGTATCTAAGGTGAGTAACAGTTCAGAAGGGGAGAAAAATCAATTCGAAAAAGATACAGATCTCTCCAATGTTTTTCCCTATAATATGCAAAGGAAAACACTTAAAAAGAATATGTATTAAGGAAGATATAATATCAGTAAAAATAAAGCAGTCATGTAAAAATCTATACTAATAAAAGGGTAACATGCTAATTAGACCGGGTCAACTAGATTTCTTCTGGTTGTCCAGTCCTCCTTCCAGACAAAGCCACTGTGGTGGGGCCAAGGCAGTGGCGGTTAGGGGCAATCAGGCTGGCAGGGGGGCAGTTAGGGACGATCAGACCAGCAGGGGTGAGCAGTTAGGGGCGATCAGGCAGGCAGACAGGTGAAAGGTATTGGGCCTAAACTGGCAGTCAGACATCCCCCAAGGGGTCCTGAATTGGAGAGGGTGCAGGCCGAACTGAGGGACACTCCCTCTCCCCTGCCCTGTGCACAAATTTCATGCACTGGGGCCTCTAGTAAAGATATAAAAAGGAAACAAATTACTGTTTCATCCATAATCTGAAGGCTAGAAATAATTTCTTCTAAGCTCTTTCATCTCTAAAAATTGATTTTTTTTTAATACAAAGAGAAAGAAAAAGAGAGAGGGAGAGGAGAGAGAGAGAGAGAGAGAGAGAGAGAGAGAGAGAGAGAGAGAGAGACATTGATTTGTTGTTCCACTTATTTATGCATTCATTGGTTGATTCTTGTATGTGCTCTGACTGGGGATCAAACCAGCAACCTTGATGTATGGAGAAAATTCTCTATAATCAACTGAGCTACCCAGCCAGGGCCCAAACTCTTTTCAATCTTAAATGTTCTTCATCACAAGTTTAGCCATGTTTTGCTAAATTGATCCTTGATTTTTTAATCCATAATATTTTACTATTTTCTTGGATTATACACAGTAATTTGGACAAGACTTTCAAGGAGAAATTCCAATAAATGTGTTATTTGCAGATATGCATGCCCAAAATAAGGAAAACATTAACATAACAATTCTCATGTTTAGTAAGAGTTTTTTCAAAGTAAAAAACAATGAAATTATATGTATGAAGTCCTCTAGACTTTCAGAAAAAAAAAGGCATATCCATATTTATAGTTTATCTTTATGGTTCAGAGTTTAGTTTACCAACATAACTCAAAAAAAAAAAAAAAAAAAGAAAAGAAAAGAAAGACAACCTTCATACCATCATCCAAGGCTATTAAGTTCGTTCATAATACTTCCTTGGCATTCTACTGGGCAGTGGTTTCAAGCTTTTGATCTCTGAATCTCCGGTTTTCATTTTAAAAACTTTATTATCTTTGTTTTTTTTAAACTACTGCCCCAGGTTCACAGTTAACTGTGGAAATATAATAAAAACTATGTGGGTGAAAGTTATTGAACAATTTGTCTCTGGACCACAGACATTCTTTCAAACTCATAGGCCATGAGTCTCTCTCGTCTCCTGCTGAGTCCTGCTGTGGCTTCCGTGTTCTGCTTGATGGCCAGTATGTTCTCCTATGAAGTGGCCAATGTTCACTGCCAGGAATTTACTTACAACTCTGCTGTTTGTTCTCTGCTCTGTTTTCCGTGACTATCTTAGTGATTTTGCACTTCTCATCTTCTCTTAGCGGGGGGTCACTTCTCCCCCATGCTTCTACTGCTATCATTGCTGCTCCAACTGAAGTCTGGGCTCCTCTTTCCAATTTAGTGACTCATTTTTCAAGGTTTCCAACTGGACTTTCAATGCTCTTAGCATCCTATACACCCTCAGTATGACAATTATGCTCCATGTCACTATC